ACACAACCGCTTTGTCAATAAAGTACAGAGCCGCAACAAGGTCCTCAAGTCGCTAGCCGGCAGTACTTGGGGCAAAGACAAAGAAACGTTGCTGGCAACAACAAGGCATAGGGCCGTTGATCGCAGCGCCGTTGTCCAGGGACTAGTAGGACGCAGTGGACGAAGCTACAGACGCGTACAAAACACCGGCACTAGGACAGCGACGGGATGCCTCTGATGCGCCTGAACACCACCGCACGGCGAGGCGCAAATGCTCCCGTAAAGGAGCACAATATAATGCTCTGCAAGCAGTTCCTGATCGGGACCACAGAAGTGGCCACCCGTAGCAGACAGCTGCTTGCAACTCGCAGGCACGTCAGGAGGCATCTATATGAACTAACGGACGAAGTCCAGAGGTTCATTAAGCAACCTCTGGACCCGACAGCTTACAGACAGGCCTCTGAACGCATTCACAGGGACTCAGTCTCGAGTTATGTAGACTCTAGACCTGTGAATGCCGTTCTAGGCACACCACCCCCGGACATTGACGAGACGGAGCTTCGTCTGCCTCGGGAGACGCGCACCACACTTGCACAACTTCGCTCCGGCTACTGCAGCAGGTTAAACTCCTACCTGAGTAGGCTGAATGAGGATGTGCCTAATGAATGTCCGGCATGCGGAGAGACCCCACATGACTCGAAACATCTCTTCGCATGCCCGGCAAACCCGACATCCCTAACGACCTTGTCCTTATGGGCAAACCCCGCAGAAGCTGCACGCTTCCTAGGGTTGCCGTTAGTGGAACTTGACGACAACGACTGAGATACCAACCGATCTGGGCGGGGTTGTTGTAGCCGCTACAACAACAACAACAACAACCAATGATCAATTTTAAGACCTTCAGCTATTGCGAGCTCGATAGTCCAATCAATAGACAACTGAGAACCCAGCTGACGCCCCTGTCCCCTTAGCAGAAACGGACGACAACGTTGACAACAACAATTTTTGGAATTTGCATTTACAACCATCAACACACCATCTCATTCAAGAGGAATCTCACATGGTATGGGCCGTTGAATTAGCTATGGCCGAAGCGTGTTTTCGACGGATTCGAGGCGGAGAGAATAAGCTGTACATTGAGAGTAATCAAGAGAGAACTACATGTTCGGTCCAACTACGACAAATTAAAACGGATTAGTTATCATTTGGTATGTTCCTTTGAACTTCGGACTAAAACCAATTTTACTTTCTCAAGGAGAACAGATGCAGAAGTATACGGGAACGCAAAAAGCACTATTTCCTGAAAAAACGTCAGTCGGTTTGTTTATATGCCATTATCACAACACAGATTTGGCTGAAATATCACTAAATAATTATTAAAATCTATACATATTCAAATATTTCGCTGTTTACTTCCAATTTTTAACAAATACATTGTTCTTTGCTTCCACCGCGTTTTGTTTTTGTTTCCCCATTCAGCTCTGCCCATCGTTTGACACTTTTCATGAACTTAAGAGCGAAATACACCACACAAGCGGTTTAACAAACCAAGCGAAATTTCCCTTTGCTTCAAGCCATTTGTGCTGTGTATGGGGGTGTTTGAAGGTTTGACAAACCGCCGTCAAACCTTCAAACACCCCCATACACAGCACAAATGGCTTGAAGCAAAGGGAAATTTCGCTTGGTTTGTCAAACCGCTTGTGTGGTGTATTTCGCTCTTTACAGTAAAAAAATCCCGACTAAATCCTGTAACTTCTTGCTAGGAACACAGTTAAGAGCGAAATACACCACACAAGCGGTTTGACAAACCAAGCGAAATTTCCCTTTGCTTCAAGCCATTTGTGCTGTGTATGGGGGTGTTTGAAGGTTTGACAAACCGCCGTCAAACCTTCAAACACCCCCATACACAGCACAAATGGCTTGAAGCAAAGGGAAATTTCGCTTGGTTTGTCAAACCGCTTGTGTGGTGTATTTCGCTCTTTACAGGTTTTGTCTATAGGAACGATTTTCTGTAAGTTCGGACTAAATCACGATTGAGAGAATACAAAGGTTGCGCCGATCTCGGACCGCTATTCCTCTCTTAACGAATTTGACAGAATCGCTGTTTGCATGACGTCACACTGGTGCAACTTGTTTACGTTTTCCTTGCAACATTTTTTCTTCTTCTTCCATTCTTGCTCACGTTTTGGCATTTCTCTCTCGCAATTGCACCAGTGTGACGTCACACACAAGTTATTCTCAAAAATCCTCTCCGATCGGCGCAATCTTGTATTCTATCATTCTTGGGACTAAATCCTCTAAATCGGACTGCCATTAGAACAGACTATATATGTATTAAAGATGTCAAAGTCGTTAGGCTAACTGTCACGATTGAAAGACATATCCTCTGTCGAAAATGCAGTTAATATTACCCTCTGAACTCTATCGGCACGCTCGTTGATAGCAGCGAAACTGTTTTAAAGAAGTGTGCATGCCAATAGCTATTTTTGGAGATTATTAATAATTAAATGTATGGCTCGCTTTGGGTAGCAAGAACATTTTTCTTAAAAATGAATGTGTTTTGAAATGCGCTATCTTATTGAAAGCGTTTTGAAAAAGTTGCATATTACGTCGGAAACGGTGGGCTGAATTTAATGTTTTCACAAGCATACGTTTCTAAGGAATCAAACTTTAGTTTAAAAGTACTTTTTTATTATTAACTAACAGAAAGGTGAATTCTGCTTAGTGAGGGTTATAATCCCTAAGCGCGGCCGAAGGACGCTAACCCAGAAAGGTGTTCTGTGCCAAAGGTGTTGCGCCGAAAGCCGCTAACGCAGAATGAACTTTCTCAATAGAAGCCTCTGGAGCCTGGGGTCTTCGCCTTTATGCACAAGAAATGTTATATACCCTTGGCGGCCTCCTCTTATCAGACAACACGGAAAGGCTGAAGTCATCAACTCGAAACAAGCGAAAACGCAAGCAAAAATTGGACCTTTGCCTTTGGGGCCTGGGCATTTGGGAGTTACATTTTTGAAAAAGGCAGTTCATAACCCCCTAAAACGCGGTGTGTGAGGTGCCATGCCCCTCCCCCTCTGCCCGCCACGCGCACAACGATCGGCCGTAAAAGGAAAGTTTCCACGAGTTTTTTTCGGTTTTCGCTTACCTGTATTGGCTGCATATCAATGCACGGTAGTGCAGAAGATAACCAGTCATTCACTCCACCAGGCACCGCATCCCAAGCCGTATGTGGTGAGTATATAGCAATGCCCTCTGCTAAGCAAATAGAAACAATTCGTTCTTTCCAATTTCTGCAGATGAAGATAAATACATACATATAAACGAATTAAGTATGCATTACACAATATTGGGTAAGAAAATTTTTATACATTTTGCTCTATGATAAACTTACTTTTGTGTAATTCGTTTGAGTGGGGCAAATATTGGTGGATGATAAGACACAATCAGGTCGGTGGCTTGTTCTACAGCTTCCTTCATTACACGCTCAGTTAAGTCGTTGGTCAGCAGAATTTTTCGTATGGATCTTAAAAAAAAGCATATACATGGTACATGGAAATTCATATTTAAAAATCTGCGGTTTACCTTTCTTTTGGAGGCTCGATCAGTAGACCCACATTATCCCATTTTTCCGCTAAATTAAGTGGCGCGAACTTCTCCAACTCCGATACAACGTTTAGCAAAGTCCTCCCGCGTGGCATTGTAAATGATGTGCGCTTGAAAACTAACGACGCAGTGGTATTAAGTAAACTGAGAATCATATAAACAACTCAACTTTTGCTAAAAAAATCACTTAATATTGTAAAAAAAATAAATGCAAGTATGTATAGTAGATGACCTCACTGCACGGCTAAATAAAAACCGGCGAAGAAAAATAAAAAACAGCTGTTTTAAATTAGAGATGGGAACGAAGAAAATGCAACAAGCATAAATTGCTTAGTCGATTATAGGTCCAATCCCGTATTCCTCGCCTCTGCTGACTAGCCCGGACTCGTAAGGTATTGCAACTTATGCTAGACATGAAATACAACAAATAACAATAAACTAGTAGCCATAAAAAAATTACAAATTTTCCCATAAGGAGATGGTAAACCCCGGGTTTTTTATTGAGGTAAAACTCGTATTCTTGCTTTGGAAATGTATCCCACAGGTAAAATAAATCGCTTGAAATGCTCTGTTATCGAAACCAATTGATTACAGCTGCTCTACGCATATATAGCTCAATAATATTGAAGTTAGTCAAAACCATAATATTGAGGGTAAATTGGTCGTTTATTTGAAAAATCCAATTAGATTTAGGTGAACAAGGGGCAAATTCTTGTTCTTTGAAAATGTGAAGTGAAAGAAATGTTCATCACTTCACATAAAATTACGATTCTGTTTTCAAACGAAAATAAATTAATTCTTCAAAAAATTTTCACTGTAAAAACTTTTTTCCATAGAGTTTTGTAGCTGTGAAAAAGAAAAGTTGGGCAGTTTTCTCAAATCCATCATCTTGTGATAACGAATATCCTTTAACTCCCAAAAATTTACCAAATAATTATTTGCTAGATGTTAATGAAAAAGCCTTTCCTGATCGAGGATCGCTTTAACTTATGTAATGAAATGAGAAAGGCTGTGTGCTAATCGGTAAAACCTTTCTCCGTGGTGAGACGGGGTAGAAAAATTTTCTTTGGTTTAAAAATAAATTGAATTTTTTGTGGTGCCAAATGTAAAGTAAAATTTTGAAAGTTGAAAAACTAAACAAAACGCTCGTGCGAAAGCTCTATTATTGTATGTTACTGAAATTGTTAAAATTTATATCTGTTTTATGACTTGCAAGTAACGTAAGCTTTTTCCCGCTTCCATTTTGATTCGAAATCTTTATTACTGCTAAGCAATGTTATGTGTATACCTATATAGAATCTTAATTACTCATACCTCTTAATTACTTGGGCCTCATGGGTTAGGTAACATTTTGACGTGCGTGTTTACCACGAGAATTGTAAAATTTTTAGTTTGAGCCGTAAACATTTTCTATTTTCTATCAACTGGCACAGGCCCAAAATGAACAAATTAAATTTTCACCGACATTGAATTTTTCATATTCACTTCACCATTTCAGAGAACGACATTTGTCCACATCGATGTTTGAAAGAAATACCTGATTATAATAAATCATAATGGTTTTGGCCAAGGAGAACAGATGCAGAAGTGCACGGGAACGTGAAAAGCACTATTTCCTGTAAAAACGTCAGTCGGTATGTTTACATGCCATTTGTACAACACTAATTTGGCTGAAATATCACTAACTAATTATTAACATCTATACATATTCAAATATTTCGTTGTTTACTTCCATTTTTTTTTTACAAATATAAGGTTCTTTACTTACACCGCTTTCTGTTTTAGTTTGCCCATGCAAATCAGCTGATCGTTTGACACTTTTCATGAACTTACAGGAAAAAAACTCCGGACTTAATCCTGAAACTTCTGACTAGAAACAGTTGCTCAGTTACTCTCTGAAAAGTCTTCCCACTTACAGGTTTTATGTCAATAGGAACGACTTGCTGTAAGTTCTGACTAAATTCTGTAAACCGAACTGCTATTGGAACAGACTAAATATATTCGTGCGATATATTTTATTTATTTTGATTTTTTAGATGGTCAATCTAAGTCCCCTTTCAGACACGTCAAGTCTTGCTTTCAAGTCTGCTCGTTCGTAGGCGAAGGAGGTGAGAAGAGAGGGGAAGAGTACAGATACCTCCGTACCGTCAATTCGTTTCAAGTTTTCTTGTCTCTTGTGATCTTTTCGTTGCTTCCCACTTGAAGAACCAAAGACTTGAATTCAATTAAAGTTGACGCGTGTGGAAGCAAATAGAAAACACAAAAGAGAATGCGAAAAAATTGCTTTCAAGACTTGACGTGTCTGAAAGGGGACTAAATGCTTTCGAACCTGAATACAATACTGAGTATTTTGGCTGTTCCACCACTTTCGACAGCAACGATAGAAAGCCCATTTTATAATTTTCATTAAACAGAAATTATAACTTTTAGCTGCACTTTGCCACATTAGTTAATTACTTTTATAACCCAAAATTTGTTCTAAAAAGTTTGTTTTCCAAGTGTCTGCCGTTTTGTAGTCCATTCGATTTTAGTACATATAATAAATTGAAAGATTTGAGTAGCTAGAATTTATCGTTGATTTTTGAAATTTTTTCCGTTGACGGAGTTGTGCAATTTCTTACATTCAAAGTATGTTCGACGATTTATTTAATTGTAAAAATAATAGGGGTCTTCATCTGAAGTGATAAAGGGATAAAGTACCTAAATTTATCAGTTTATCCGCATTCTTTCATGAATGCACCTTGGTAAATAATTGCATAAAATTGTTTATTATTAAACTCATATGGCTAGTAAACGGTAAAAGCGTTTTATTCTTACCGCGTCCATTGTGTTCATTTGCCTGTTTTGTGTTCGTAGCAAAAACGACCACTTTGTAACCTGTTAGTCCTCTTTCAGACACGTCAAGTCTTGAAAGCAATTTTTTCGCATTCTCTTTTGTGTTTTCTATTTGCTTCCACACGCGTCAACTTTAATTGAATTCAAGTCCTTGGT